AAACAGTTTTTATGTACAGACAGACGGACTGAAGGACACTCTACAGTAATTTTTTAAACATCCCTGTTATCAAAATATAACATTTTTAAAAGCAAAATTTTTAAAAAGGAGATAACTCTTGAAATAAAGATGCAAGATGTCATACCTGATGTGAGTGTAACAAAGAACAATTAGTAATGAACGTATGAATAAAGAATGGTTATTTTTAATTTGAAGTAAATGAAAGTTACAAGAACGAATAAGAAAAATTAAAAGTTTAAGGAGGAGATAACTTTGGAAATATGGATGCTAGATTTATAAACCTTGTCATATTATTATGATGTGGGAGTTTGAAGAAAATCCTATCATTATTGAAGAAGTTGAAGTAAAAATTACCAATTTCTCGAAAAAAAGTCTAAGTTCAAAAGGGGCATTATTCTGGAAATAGTCTTGCTAGAGTATTGAACTTTCTCACAAATGTTAAGTGAAAATAATAAAACATATTTATGAAGTTTGAAGTAGATACATTCAGAAAAAAAGAAGTTATTAAAAAAAAACTTTTTTTTTTATGAAAATTTTACGTTCAAGGGAGGTAATTCTAATAAATTTTGTGCTAGAGTTGTAAACTTTGTCACATATGATGTGGTTGATGACTAGCAACTTATATTTAAAGTTTTAAGATAATACCTTAAGAAATAAAGAACTTATAGTGAAAAAACTTAAAAAACTAGAATCAGAAATCTTAAAATTCAGTATATTTGTTGCCATAGCAACCAGAATTTTCAACATAGGAAGATAAGAAAAGGATGTGCATAATTTCCAGACTGCCATCTACCCATATCAAGTTTCATAAAAATATTTTCAGTACTCTTTGCGTTATCACTGGATCCAGGTTTTGTGTAAAATTTGCCATATTTTCAGTCTATTTGTTGCCATAGCAACCAGAATTTTCAGCATAGAAAAAAAAAGAAAAAGACGTGCATAATCTCCATACTGCCATCTATCCATATATCAAGTTTCATAAAAATATTTTCAGTACTTTTTGTGTTATCGCAGGATCCAGGTTATAAGTAAAATTTGCCATATTTTCAGTCAATTTGTTGCTATAGCAACCAGAATTTTCAACATAGGAAGAAAAGAAAAAAACATGCATAATCTCCATACTGCCATCTATCCATATATCAAGTTTCATAAAAATATTTTTAGTACTTTTTGCGTTATCGCGGGATCCAGTTTTGTGGACGGACGGACTGACGTACCAAAATTTGATGTTTATTAGGCAATTGAGCTCATAAACACCACCTGGACCAACGTCCATAAGCAAAATAAGCTCATAAAAGCAAAAAATTAGCTCTTAATTTGAATTTTATGAGTTTATGTTCTTTATTTAACTACGGAATGAAGCTCATAATAATCAAATGTTGGCTCGGACAGACGGACGGACTGACGGACAGACAGACGGTCGGAGGGTAAACCTAAAGTCCCCTCCGGTAAACCGGTAGGGGACTAATAAACATTTCCCAGTTCAGAAATTAAAAGATGCTGCAAATTTTAATGCAGGATGGCAAGAAATATGGATAAATATTGATATGAGGTCTTTCTAGAATAGTTAACGCAGATTTTGATTTTAAACCAGTTTTTAATGATAATATTAGAAAATTCCGCTTCAGAAACAATCATGACAATAATATCTATAATATGCATTTATGCCATTATGATTATTTTTTATATTTGATTACTTTTAATCTGCTTTTTTGTTATTTACCCTGAGGGCCTCTTATCAGTGAGCAGGAGAATGGTATAATGAAGTTACATTCGGTCTCAGAAACACTACACTTACAGTTAAATACTGGTTAATCAAAATATGATTACAAAAAATAAAAGTATTTTAATTTTAACTAACATGATTTCACCTAAAATGTTAAAACTGCTGATTTTAAAATTTACTTATTTTTATTCATGAATAGGCCATATATCCCTAAAGTTTTTATTCTCACAGCATATAAACAATGGTTGCCCCCTGTCACTTGTTATGCAATTATCTAATAAAATTTAGGTGTCACCTTCCCTGGCCAGCCTGGTCATATGGTCTAGTGCACTAGAAGTGCACACAGTGTGCACTTCTAGTTCAGCTCTAGTGCACTAGAAGTGCACAAGGGTGGGAAGTTTAGTGTGAAATAAACTGTAAGGCAAGGCAGAGTTATGGTTCTTTAGCACTGCACTTCTACCCAATGAGACCTATCTACCTACAAAGTTTCATGTTGATATCTCTTATAATTTTAGAGTAATGTCCCAGACAAAGTTCAAAGTGTCAAAATGAACAAAGGGCAAAAACTCCAAAATTAGACAAGACAGATTTATGGTTCTTAAACAATGCACTTCTACTCAATGAGATCTATCTACCTACAAAGTTTCATGTTGATATCTGTTATGTCCTGAACAAGGTTGAAAGTGAAAAAATAAACAAAGGCAATAATTCAAAACTTAGACACGGCAGAGTAACAGTTCTTGTGCACAGCAAACCTACTCAATGAGATCTATCTATCTACAAAGTTTCATGTTGATATCTCTTATAGTTTTAGAGTTATGTCCCACACAAAGTTCAAAGTGTAAAAATAAACAATGGGGGATAATTCATAAATAAGGCAAGGCAGATTTACAGTTCTTGTGCACTGCACACTTACTAAATGAGATCTATCTACCTACAAAGTTTCATGTTGATACCTCTTATAGTTTTAGACTTATGTGCTGAACAAAATTCAAAGGGTAAAAATAAACAAAGGGCAATAATTCAAAAATTAGGCAAGGCAGAGTTACTGTTCTTGTGCACTACACACCTACTCAATGAGATCTATCTACCTACAAAGTTTCATGTTGATACCTCAAGTTATGTCCTGGACAAGAAAAGTGGATGGACTGACAGACTGACGGACAAAGCGGCGAATATATTGCTAGCCTGAGTGGATTACATGTATGAAGTTGTAATTTTCACCATAATTCTTTAGATTTGACAATATATGAAACAATTTATCTAAAAATTAAAAAAAAATAAACTTTAGAAAAGATGAATGGAGGCCACTTTAATTATTACTTAGTGCTTAATTTATCTAATACAAGAGTGTTGGCACATAGTTTCACAAAGATTGTCTACTAGCATTACTAAAATTTATTTAATATCATTACTTAGACTCCATAGCGTCATAAAGAGTGTCACATTCTTGCACACAGTGTCACATTTCATGGCAATAAGTGTCACAAATGATCAAATATTTTCACCAACTGTGATACATATCATATAAAAAATTTGAGATAAATTCTATCAACAAAATACATTGATGATAGCTAATATCATTCAATTATTTATCAATATCTAAATTAAAATACCAATAAAAAGCTAAGGATATCACTTAGTCTAGCTAAAGATACTTCAGCGAACAGGTTTTATAGTATTGCTAGACCTGTTCGACCTGTTACTGTCGCAACGTCAAAATAAAAGCGACATATAAAGTTATGGAAGCCAGAACTACACTTAGTCCATTCCATACCATATAATTAATTGTACCAACAGTGTCACCTATTTTCATCAAAATTGTCACATATTATCACTCAGTGTGTCACATAGCTGTCACATATTATCATCATAACTACAAACAAAACAAATTCAATTGTGAAGAATTAAATATATACCATTAGAATTCATATTCATCAATAAAATTATTTAACACTTTCAATTTCAAATTAAATTGTTAACATTTTTTATTTGATGTTTTCCCTTCAAACGTAATGTTTTAAATTTCCATCAGAATTTTGAAGTTTATTTCCCTGTCCCAAAGTTTCCCTGAGGTTTTAACTTAATTTCAAAAGCATGCTGCCTTAAACTTTTTAATAGACTGATAGATAATGCATATTCTCAAAGCCAAATATATTCAGTTTGTGACTTACAACTCTTTCATCAAATAAAACTCAGTTAATTTGTTAAATAGGAGAGAAAATCAAGACTTATCTTATATATATATATATATATATATATATATATTTAGTTAGGGTTTGATTCAAGTAGCTTCCAAGTTAAGCGTCTGCTTCAAGTAACAATGTAATATAATGTTAATTAAAAAAAAAAAAAACAAAAAAAAAACACTGAAAATTTATCAAACTTATAAACTATATACAGTCGAAACTGTTCTAACGGTCACCTCTTATCGGCGGTCACCTGACCTTAACGGCCATTTTGTGACGCTCCCGACGAAAACCACTCTATTTTATACATCTGTTCAACAGTCACCTGCTGTCCGCGGTCGACGGTCACCTAAAATGCTTCCCGAATCTTAAAGTCGGTCATCTTAAGCGGTCAGCCAGGTGAAACGGCCAGGCAATCTTCTGCAGTCAGCCAGGTGAAACGGCCAGGCAATCTTCTGTCATTTATTTTCAAAGATGACAGGTGTCACGGATTAACAAAAGCTACTTGTCGGGTGCTAGATATTAACACAAACAACAACATTTCAAGAAGTTTGCATAATTGCTCATCCGTGTCGTAATTACAAACGTTTGGAACGTCTCCACGCACTTGCAATTCGTTCTTTTGAGTTACTGTACGCTAGTTTTTACCGATTTTAAGAAAAAAAGAAAGAAGAAAAAAATGCATTGTCGATGGCAGAAAGAAATTTCAGTTTATCCCGATTCAGATAAATTTTGTGCGTACTTGGTACTTACCAAAGACATGAAAATGAATTACATCGCCGATTGTCTAAATTCCTCAGTAATAAATTCATAAAAACACTTGCTCCATGTGTGAAAATAAAATTGCATGAATATAATGAGGTCACTGTTAAATCACACCCATTAAGTTTATAGGGGTAAAAGTAACAGAAACTGAAAATACTGAACTAAAAAGTTGGGGGCCAGGGGGCCGCTAGGGCCCCCGGTGGGTCCAGGGCAACGCCCTGGCTGGGGGTCCCGGGGGCCGGAGGCCCCCGGAAGCTCTTGCAATTTGGTGAATTACAAAGCTAAAAAAAAGCCTCAGATACATACTCAAGTGCTTTATTTATCTTCAGATGTAATTAAAATGATATGTTAAAATTTACACAAATTCACTGAGCAATACATATACAATCCACATAAATGGATTATGTTCATTCTTTTTACTATTTTCTATTTCATATCTTAGATTTAATTCTTTTCCATTGTCTTCCACTTGTTGAGGAACTTGTGTCTGTAATTTTTTTTTCTCACTCCCATATTTACATTTTTTGCTTAATACACGTTTGGCAAGATCTAAGAGATCGCCCGCTATGGAAAATGGCAGACAATGTTCACTCAGAAAGGCAGTTGTGATTGCTCTTTGTTTGGCAATGCGGTCTTGCATGCTTTCAATCTTTTTGTCCACAGCTTTTGATGAGCCTGGCAGTACCTGAAAAGACAATTTTCAAATGAAAGATGTATGAAAACATATCAAATAAAATATCACACTCAAATTGTCAATTTAGTTCGGAAACCAGGAGATAATCAATCTAAAAAACATAGATATTGAAAATCATTTTCTAATCCTTAAAAAATTCAGCTGAAAAAAAAATTCTATTATTTAGGTGGAAAAAAAAATTTAGGTGGAAAAAAAATCAAAGTCCAGACGTATGAAAAATTTGGGCATAGGTTCCCCTGCACAAGGCCATTTTTTAATTCAACCCCCAACCCTTGCCCTGACCATATGAAAGTGGGGGGAAGACAGAAGAAAAAGAGGGTGGGGTAATGTGCATTGTTTATTAACTACACAATGCACAACTAAACCTCTTTTTATTGCTAACTCTAGATAGTGACTAAACTACACAGAGAAATGATCTTACTTGGTTTGTTTTTACTGTCCTAAGATTCTTTTTGTGGTCCTCATCTTCAGCGTGATTACGAAGCACCTTTTTTCCGTTCGATTTGTAGTTGATCGTTTTGGAACAGGCTTCACAAAAGGCAATGCCCATTGCATTTGGTTTCTTCAACCAAGCATCCCATTTTTCACCTTTAGAGTCCTTTTCCGCTAACCACTCCCACCTCCATTTGTTTTTTGCACCTTTTTCCAGATCGTTAGTATTAAAACCAGGCGGTAAACACTTCATTGTTGTTGTTTTTGTAAAACACTGATAATTTTTGTACATGTATTTTGAAATCAAATGACTATGCAACAAACGATTTCATTGGCTGGTGAAAATAACGACGTCCAATCAAATCTGTTCTTGTATAAACTAGCTCAACTTTTCATCGGCAATCTCCGTAATGTAATAGGTATTTCCCACTTGTAGAAAATTTGTGCAAACGGGTCTGAGATGGACAAATCTATTCAAAATAATGTATCAAGCAATGTGCACTCGCTAATTAATGAGGCATGCACACACACCCTACCCGATTTCTCATCGGATTTACGTCATTCAGAAAAACGACCTCGGAGATCGCCGAAAATACGGAATTCCGTCGTGAGACGGAAAACTTTTACCCCTGAGTTTACACACTAGATGACCTCTAAGAGGTAACTAGCGGTCTCTTCTTACAAACCTATAGCCCTGCTGTTTCAATCCGAAACATCAAAGGAAGTGCCGACACTTAGATGACGTGTACACAATATTCTATTGATCAAAAGTTAGAAAAAGAAACTGTCATACTTTTTTTGTGAAAAAAAATATTACGCATTTTAAATTTTTGTGCAAGAAGATATTTTTATGGGATAATTAGTTTCAATTATTGACATAATAAATCGTGAGTGCATTTGTTTATCTGTGTTACATTCATGTAAAGCTTTATATGTTGGAAGGATTTTGTACATGTTAAACCATTAAAAGCATATGTTTGTAAATGGTTAAAAACTGATGATGATGATGAATCAGACTGGTTTATTTATACTTACATCAGATTTATTTTACAAAGAAATGAATAATTTATTTGGATAAAAACTGAATCCTTCATTCAGCAGCCACCTGTCTTAAGCAGCCAAAATGACTGCATCCCTTGGCTGGCTGCTTAAGACAGTTTCGACTGTATTGATGTAAATAATTATCATAAATGTAACTCTGAAATGCAAAAAGCTAAAACTATTTTAAGGGACATAATTCAATAAACTACTGATAAATCGGTTTTTTTAAACAAAAATGAAAAAAAACAACATTTATTTTTATAGTAGTAAAGTTTTAAGTCACAACATAGTGGAAGTAAATTCACCATAACAGAAACTTTTAGTAAAAATTTGCATCAATAAAGTTTTAAAAATAAATATTCAGAAAATAAAACGTTATAACAAAACCTGATTCAAATAATAAATTAAAGTTAAATAACAAACAAATACATAACACCATAACAGAAACTTTTAGTAAATATTTGCATCAATAAAGTTTTAAAAATAAATATTCAGAAAATAAAACCTTATAACAAAACCTGATTCAAATAATAAATTTAAGTTCGGAGAATAACAATTCAAATACATGTAGATAAAGGAACAAATCTATACAATATAATTATTAATATTTTCATTAATATTATTATTATTATTATTATTTAATTGATATCTACCTGAAAATTTCATAATAATAATACATGCTTTTCCTTTCTGTTCTAGGACATCAAAGACAAATAAGCAACAAATAAAAGTATGTGACAAAATAAATTTAGTGAGTGACTTCAAAATTTTTCCTTTTACTTATATATTACAGAATGTTTCAAGAACATGAGTACAGAGAAAACCTATCATTGGCGTTGTCAGAGGTTTTAGATGACATTGGTGTCAATGAAAGAATGGTGAAGAGAAAGAGAAGACATTCCATGCTGCTAGAGACTATGAGTAATATCACTCACAGGTTAAATGATGCAAACATAACTGTATATCATCTAGGGAGCCAGAGAGAAGGTACAACAACTTTAGGACTTGAATCAGACATTGATATACTAGTCTGTTCCAATGATTACAATACAATACAAGACTGGCCAGAGTGGGAACATGGCAAGAGAAACTATCTCATGATACAGGATGAGAACACTACCCCTGGTTATTGTTTCTTACAAAGGCTCAGAAATGACGTACCTCTTCCTGTCACTCTCATTCCTGATGAACACCATATAACTGATAGAAGTGGAAAAATATTGTTAAAAATACAACATTTAATGGTGCCATTCCGGGTACTGTAGGTCATGGACCATCACTTGCTGAACAAGGACGACCTGGAATATCAGATTCAGACACTGTGCCAGCTTTACCCTGTAAATCCTTGCATCAATCAGCATCAGATTGGTTAGATAGACGATGGCCAACACAAGACATGAAAAGATATGCAGCTAGTACTGGGTGTTTTGTTGTTGCAACTGGAAGTAAGGTCAGTGAATATCCTGATCTGGAATGGAGAATATCTACATCACTGGCAGAGAGGTTTCTTATGTTAAACCTAAATATAACACAAATAAGGTGCTATGTATTATTGAAAATGATTCTTAAATCCTTCCTTAATCCCAGGATGAAATCAAATATATCAGTTTTTCATGTGTAAAACATTTCTAATAACACTGTATAGAAAACACAGAGTCAAGTATATGGAAAGAAAGAACAATTTATTTATATGCTTAACATTCTGCTTATTAGAATTACATAGCTGTGTACAGAATGATCGTTGTTTCACATTTCATTATCAGAGAAAATAAATTTGATGGGGAGGGCAATTTTACAGCTGAAAAAAAAATGAAACTTTTAAAAAAAATCAGTGATTTTTTTTACAGAAATGACAGACAAAAAGTTACTTACAATTGATATTGATGATCTTGGTCATAGACTGCAAGTTAAACTTAACATGGTACCAAATGGAGCATATCATTATCTATCTTCTATTGAATTGAATGAACGTTTTATGACCTCAGAATATTTAAACAAAGCATACAACACAAACGTAAATTATAGGTTTGTTTTAGAAGAATTACAAAATAAAAACATTAGAACAATAAAGCATTGTATAGGTAAACTAATTACTTTCAATGTTAATGGTAACAGATTAGAAGAGGCTGCATTCAAGTTTCTAGCACCTTTTCTTTTTACCACATATGGATCTATCCTGGCATCAATCCAGCATTGGTGAAAATAATCAAGTGTCACCTTGAAGCATTGGGTTTGGTTATCAGTGGTTTACACTCAGATATATTCATTTAGCAGACTCAAATTGGCTTCAGTGTTCTACAGTTCAGGAGATATGGAGAAAGCTGAACTTATTCTGAGAACACATGAAACAAAATATTACTTCTTATCCTGTTGTACCTATCTGTACGTTTGGGCTGGGGGGGGGAATAAGCCTCCACCAGCAGTAACAGCAGAATACAAGAGGGTTCTGTGGTGAAACAAAAATG